AGAGAGAGGGAAAATGTAAAAGAGAGTGCGAGCTACTTTCCAACTCCATCAGATGGACAGACTTCGTGCATGCCTCTTTTTTGACACTGCTGGTCTTAGCAATGGTGCTGACCGCTGTGTCGGTGCGGTGGTTGCGATTACGGTTATGGTTACGGTTATGGTTGTTGCCGCTGCCCCTGGTGGGTGGGTCGCTGTGCAGGTGGAGGAAATCGCGCTGTTGTGCTGCACCTTCGTCAAGGGGGACGGCCGCCGGCTCTATTACCCCAACCCGAAACTTAACCAGGAGCCCATTATTAACATTAGCAGGTGCGGATGTGTGCGTGTGTATGTGTGTGTATGCGTGTATGTATGTACGAAGGTACGGGTGAGAGGCGTCGGGGAAGTCGGCGTGGCCCCTGATTTGTCCCCCCCCCCCAAACACACACACACACACTCTGCCGTCTTCTCCTCCTCCTTTCCTTCCTGGAGAACCCACTCCCCATCCAGCACTTCCCCCTCCCCCCTCACCCCTCACCCCTCACCCCTCACCCCTCACCCCTCACCCCTCACCCCTACCCCGACATGACAGATCTGGGACCTACTGGGACAGCGCCACCCTGCTGGTGGACCTGACCACCCCCGGCTCCGTGTTGGAGGCGGTGGAGGGCAGGCTGAAGCGCTGGCTGGCGGATAACCCCAAGCAATACACGGGGTCGGGGGGTGAGTGAGGAGGGGCGAGGGGGGGAGCGGTCAAGGACACGGGGAGCACTTATTACAGTGTCCCAGCTTGGCACGTCAGGACCCTCCTTCTCTCCCACCGCCCTCTCCCACCGCCCTCTCTTCCCCCTCCACAACCCCCCCTGGTACACTCTTGCCCTGGCAGCAGCTTCACTCGTCCGTGGTTCGTCTTCCCCCCACCGGTTCAGGTGTTGCCGCCCGAGCGCTGGCCAACCCCGCCAAACTGCAACTGACCGCTTCCTGGGAGTACTGCCACACGGGGGAGGACCAGGGCAGGACGGCAAAGTACGTAAGGGGGATTTGGGTATATTATTCGGCGATGTAGTCACGTACGGTGCGCGGTTCCACCAGCGGGGGGGTTGATTTAGATCCGCTGAAGGGCGGTGTATTGATACACTCCACAACTTACTGGGGGAGGGGTTACTGATCCCCACTAGACTACCCCCGTGCATGGGAACGGGGGAAGAGGGGGGAGGGGGAGGGGGCCAACCAGGCTCCCCCCCGCAACTACCTAGGCTTCTCCTCCTCACCGCCCCTTGTCTCGTACCTGCTCACCTGCTCTCCTGCTGCTGCTGCTGCTGCTGGTAGTGGTGGTGGTGGTGGTGGTGGTGGTGGTGGTATTCCTGGCCCTGAGGCTAGCCACCTGTACCTGTACCTGCACCTGCACCTGCAACTGCTCATGTTGCTTGCGTTGCTCATGTTGGTGCTCAGGTGGCGCAGCAAGGCGCTGCTGGTGCTGGCCGCAGCGCTGGAGTCCTGCGGCACCTCCTTCACCTTCCCGCCAATCAAGGTGAGAAAGGAGCCCGCCAACCCGTTGCCTGCCCCCCTATCCCCCTGCCGCACGACCACCACTACCACCGCCAGCACATGACCCTAACCCGCCTTGCATGTTCCGTTCTGGTCTGTTGCCCCTCTTTCCTGCCCCGGGACCTGAAAGGCCCTTTACGTGGCCAACTCGTGAAACCTGCGACCCCTGATGTGCCACTACCACCTCCTCCGCCACCACCTCCTCCACTACCACCTCCTCCACCACCATCACCGGCCGCCCGCCCGGGGGGGGGACGGTTGGCGGTGGGCCCGCAGGATGGCCGAGTGGACCGAGAGGCGGCTGCGGTGGTGGGACTGCTCCAGGGGGGTGAGGTGGGGGTCGGGGGCTCCGGGCTGGTGGGCGGCCGGAATGCAGGTCAGGGCGCGGGGCGGGGGGGTGATGGCGGGGACGGGCCCGTTAGCCAGGGCGTCAGCGCGCTGGGTACGGGTGCTGCTGCCCTCACAGTGCAGGGCTTTTAGGGATCTTGTGATGCGGTGCCGTGCGGTACGGTGCAGTACAGGGGTGTACGGAGGTGGTGGTATTGACGGTCACCGGTGGGGTGCTGCTGGCGGACTAAGGGCCCAGGTGGGGGATGCACGGTGCGTGCGTACGGCAGCTCATGTGTGTACAAATTTATCATCCATCCATCGTTTTGCACACGAGCATGTGTGTCTGTGTGTGTGTGTACACACTGTCGTACACTGTGACCACAAGCGAGAAATCTGTCTGTCCATATGTCAATGAATCTGCTGGTGGTGGTGATGATGACGATGCTGGCTAGCAGGGCTGTCAAGGCTAGCTCGCGTAGGTGCCTGCGGGGCCCCACTAGTGCCAAGGCACTACTCCGGCGGGGCTGTGGGTGATGCGTATGTATGTATGTATGTATGTATGTATGTATGTATGTATGTATGTATGTATGTATGTATGTATGTATGTATGTATGTATGTATGTATGTATGTATGTATGTATGTATGTATGTATGTATGTATGTATGTATGTATGTATGTATGTATGTATGTATGTATGTATGTATGTATGTATGTATGTATGTATGTATGTATGTATGTATGTATGTACGTGTGCGTCTGTGCGCCGAGTATGTTTGCCGAGGGTGCAACTGAGGGTACGGCACTGGGGTTCGCGCGCACAACAGTTCATGTTCGTATCCCGCCCGTGAAAACCTATCTGAACAGTAACAAGTATTATTCTGAATTTTTGCAAAGTTTATTTGCGGTTGCTTGTGGGACGAAAAGTGAAAGGGCCGGACGAAACACGTGGCCCGGGGCGGGACGCGTGTGGGTGTGTCCCGAGGTGCGCCCTCGGGGCGAAGGACGTGACACGACAAAAGATGTTACGAGTTCATGTCGTACCTGCCGTACCGTACTGGCCAGCAGCATAGCAGCAACAGGTGTTCCCCCACAACGGATATCCGTTAAGGGGGACGCATGTGACAAGAGAATTCAAATGGAGTAAAAAGCTGGTCGATATAACAATTTTCTTTCGCGCCTTGCAAGTAATCTGTGCCATTAGGTTGCCTAGCTTCGCATGATCTCATGAAAACAATTATTTTTCGCGTGAGGACAGTTGTTGCCGTACATGCTGCTGTGCATGTGGCGTGCGTGTGTACACGTATGATATAGCACGCGAGGGCATGAAATGTTGCTTGTGCGCTATCTACCTGCCTATCTAGCCTTGTGCGTGTGAACGAAAGAGACACTCTCATATCTGTGATTCAGTCCGCGGAGGCTGGCGGCCAAGTGGCTGGGTGGTGACTGACTTGCACAGAAATGAATGGTTTGGGTTTTGGGGCTAGCCACGTTTAGCTTTTAAAGATGATATTCGGCAGATAGGACCTTTCGCGCATGCTTTGGCTGCTGCGTGCCGGTGCCCTGATGTATGTACAGCAGGTGTAAAGCTCACCGGGTCGACCCGTGCCGGTGTCCACCGGGTCCGTTGCCTTCCTGTCCCCTCTCTCTCTCTCTCTCTCTCTGGCTAACGCGATCTTATCCTGTATGGACACGCCGGCGGGACTGTGTTTCCAACTTGTTTGGCCCCTCCATCCGCTGCATCCTGACGTCCTGACACGCCTTCCGCAACAACACAGCTAGCAGGAGCCCGGGGTATCCGTGCCAGCAGGGCAAGCGGGTGTGTTGGAGGGGATCAAACAGGGCAGCACGACTTGTCGGTTTCCCCGTGCGGCATGCGGCCCCACGTATGTATGTCGCATATGTACGAGCCCCATTGGCCAGTATGCTAGTTGCTGCACCTTACATGCTTCTTCGACACAAACAGTGAGATATAGGTTAGATAGCTCCCACATCGTACGTGCGATAACGCCACGCATGCTTAGTGAACATTCTGCCCTCCTAGAGTAATCGCCATGGATGTTATGTCCATTGGCACGATAGCCGGATGCAACCGCCACCATGAATCTGGTAACTGCCGTACGTGTGCCGTACTCTGTCATTTATCCAAGTTGCCGTGCATCCCGGTGCTCAGCTCTTGCAGAGCCATGGGGTCCACATAATGGCCGCACTACAGGAGTGCTCCCCGCTATGACAGCAGCTGACTAGCAGCCTACCTGCATCGCAGGATTAGCCCCCACATGCAGATTCATCCAATAGAGCTGACATGACATGCATACATTCTTGCATACATGCAGCTGTCCTGCGATGCTGACCAATGAGGCGACAGCTCGAAGAGGAACCCAGCCTTCCTGCCGTAAGTCTTACTTCACGTCGTCATTCGGCGGAGGTCTATCGTAAAGAGACAGGCGTGCAAGTGGTCAAGTGGCACCGGTGGTGATTGTAGCTCTTCCAGCACTGCACGTTGTGCGGACGGAGTCTTTTCGTCCCACGCACCCCGCTCAGGGTTCTGCGCCGCGGCAGGATACCCGACATTTCAGTGTGTCCGAACCACTCTCAGTAACTGGTCGGGCCGACTCGGGGCCCTCCCCGGAAGCCAGTCTGTTATGTTGATATGTTCACGACATTCGGCAAGCATCAGTGCACTCCTCTCCTTCATCCCTTGCATGTTATATTTTTGTTTTATGCATCTTCTACGCTTTAATGATGCCTTGCAGTTCAGGGTATCCTCGTCCAGTCCATAATATGTCATCAAAGGTTGACGGAAACATATGTCCCAGTTTCAGCTGGCTGCTCAGGTGGAACCAGGAATTCAGCGGTATGGTGAAACAAAAGTCCCGTGGGACGTACACGCTATTACCTAAATCCGCGTCGACGCCTTAATTATAAATCCTGCCTATGGTCGTAGCACCGTACAAGCCACAAGGTCAGGCGTTTCAATTGAACCTATACTGTGAGCAAGGATTTGGGTCGCGAATTATTACTGATGACAAGTCGAGTGCTAAGCGACGTGTCGAGAATTGTCGCTCCGGAACCATGTCCTCTCCAGAAAATTCATCTGCAATCACATGGCCAACGCGTGGCCAAGCGCAATTTACAACCATAATAGCAGGATTAAATCTAAGAATACTTCACTGAGAATGCAGAAGTGCCTTTCCCGGCGAGGTGTTTTCGGCGGCCAAGCAACTGGCCGCCGGTCTGCCGTCGTTGTTCGTGCTGAGGCAATTGCCGTTCCTGCACCTTTTACAAAGGTAATTGAACGCGACATAGGGTTGTTCGGGGCGCTCGTTTATCCAGACGACATTCTGTTAGCAATCAATAGTGGGGCCTTCAACACGACTTGGTAAATCCTCATGTAGGTCACGGCCAAGGGTGATCGTGTGCTGGTACGTGTTGCCGAGGAGGAGGTGAAGACGCGAGGCGGCATTCTCCTGCCCCCCTCCGCGATTAAGAAGCCAACTTCTGGTGAGTTGGCGCGTGAAAACGCCATGCAATTGAACTTGATGGTGAAATCGCTTTGTGGCTGGTTCAGGTGAGGTGGTCAGCCTTGGCGATGGGCGCATGGGCAACGGCGAGGTGCGCCCATTTTACCTAAAGCCAGGGCAAACTGTCGTGTACAGCAAGTTCGGCTTCATGTATACGGACCTTAAGCTGTCGAACGGCGAGGAATATATCCTTATCCGCGAGGACGACGTCATCGGCATCATGCCCCGCGCCAGTAAGTGCGGAAGGTACCCAGGACCAGCGGGCGCAACCCCGCATAACTGGCATGTCCATCACTGCGCTGGGACGTGAGATCTCAGCTGGCCGTGTGCTTTCGCTCCCTTTGTACCCTAGCCAGACTGCGGAAGGGGGTTTAGAGACGGGAATGCATTACTACAATGCCCTCTGCTGCGCACCCTGCTGAAGAGCGTCAAGCTTCTCCCTCCCTCTCTTGGCCCACCGTCTAGCCCCTTCGGCCTTGGACCCTAAACCTCGCTCCCGGTTTGCCAACCCAAACCCGCCGCCCTCCTTCCTTTGCTAGATGCCCAAGCTGACGACGTTCCGGAGCTGCAGCCTTTGTCAGACCGGGTATTGGTCCGCGTGGAGGACGTGGCGGATGTGACCCTGGGCGGAGTCATCTTGCCGGATAGTGCCAAGGAGCGGCCCCTCAGCGGTACTGTAGTACGGACGGGGCCGGGGAAGTACGACAAGGACGCGGAGGGCAAGCGGAAAGCCATGACGGTGAGCAGGGACGTTACGGGGAGGCCACTCCTTGGTGGGCAAGGGGTAGCTGGGACGGGATGAGGCAGCTGGTGGCTTGGGTGGGGGCTGGAGGGGACGGTAAGGAAAGGACGAGGGGGAGCTACAGGAACAAGGGGTCAGGGGGGTATGTGAGGGACAGGTGTGCTGGCAGGGGGAGGGGTGGCGGGCAGAAGACACGGCGCTGTAAAGGCCGCGTGGGGTTTCTGGGTTTATGGGTTGGGGGAGGGCATTGTATTTCTGGTGCCGTTGTGGCGCTGAGAAACGGGCGGCGGCAGTGGGGTGCCCCTGCCCCGCCTGGTGGGGCCAACACCCGGACCAACCTGGACAGAGACCACCTGCCAGCCATCTACCTGATAAACAGCTCAGCAGCCACGGTCGGTCAGGGAAATCCTCCAGCGGGTCGTTTTGGCCCCAACACATCCCTAGGGCCCTGGGCACAGACTTCCCGCCCATGCTCGCTTGCGTCCCCCGCTAGCCATTGCAACCCTCAGTCCTTTAAAGTGATTTGGACGGTTACCGCGTCCAGCAACGAAAGCAAGAGAGCAACGAAGGCCAGCAGGCCACAGGCCATGTGCGCCGGTGCCGAGGTGTCAGACATCCGCGGATTGTCCGTCCGATGGCTCCCGGGGTGGGGTACACATGTGTGCGTGTGTGTGTGGGGGGGGGGGAGGGGGGGGAGTTATGTGGTGGTTTGGGACTGGGAACACAAGAAGACCCCCGAGAGCGCGTATGCACTGTTACGCCATCAGCTATACTGTGCCGGTTGCTACACGCATTTTATTTAGGATTTACCGACTGAGTACTATTGGAATAAAAAATACACCTCACCTCACCCGTGCCCGTGCCTGGCTCGCAGGTTCAACCAGGTGACAAGGTGTTGTACTTCAAGTACGCGGGTGACAACATGGAGACCCCTGAAGGGGCCAAGTTCGTGGTGTTGCGGGAGGACGATATCCTGTGCAAGGCGTGACGGAGCTGGTGGTAATGGTGGTGGTGCGGCGCTCGGTTCTTATTTTGGGTAGTTCATGGTTGCCATGGGAGTGTGGGAGCATGTAATGGGGAAGGTGGGAATGAAGGCGGATGGCGGGCAAGGACGTGTGAAGTGTGGGAGGTGATAGACGGAGGGGCTGGCCTAGCTTTCTGGAAGCGAGCAAGAGGAGGAGGAGGAGGGGGAAGGATGCAGCGGCGACGGCCCTGGGAATGGCGGCTTGGAGTGGCAGCGAATGAGAAGCGAGAGGAGAAGGCGTAGGTAAAAGGAGGCGTGAAGGATGGCCATGGCAAATCCTTGCAGAAGGCAACCTTTTCAATCTGCAATCTTTTTTGATGCTGCGATGGTTCCGACGGTCAAGCAATGGACGGCAGCAAGCGAGGTTTGGGATATGCGCTGGTGACGTCTCTCCTAACCGCAAGTCATCAGGACAGAGCAGGACAGGATTCATTCTGGACAGCCGTCTCCCAGGGCTGCTTGCTTCTCCGTCATGTGTGTAACCCCCGGCCGGGAGGAGGCTTTCTCTTTATGTATGTCCGTGTAGTGGATTTCCCCCTGGGAGAATCCTTCACCACCACCTCTCGGGTTGCTATTGGGCGGCAGGTATTTAAGGCGAGATCCTCTTCAACAGAGAGGGAGTGAAGGGTAAGAGGGTTACACGCGGACTCCAGCTGGAGAGGTGACACCATGGGGGGCGTTAAAGAGGCGGGTCGCCGCGTTGAAGGGCGGGAAGCCCACCAGCTTGGCGATGGGGATGATGTGCGCGGAAAGGAGTGGGGCTTGTGGGCCATGACGCGACTGCTCCCCGGCGTCCTGGAGAGTGGAGTGTGGGGCGGTCCACACCGCGGGGGTGGGGCCTACTTGGATGCCTCCCTCCTTCCTCAGTCGGGTGAAGTAACTTGAACAGACAAGTGATCCAGTTCCGACTTCATCCTTTGTTTGCCGCCGTCACCAGTGGTGCAGCCACCTGGTCATATGTGAGTGCGCTAGCTCCGAACCCAGAGGGGAAAGAGGTGACCGGGTTCAAAGATGCGGCATTGTAATAAAGGAGCGAGGCGACAACAACCCAGCAAAGGCCATGAAGTGGTGCTTCCGTCTCTGTTGTCATGAACCACGACATCTAGGGGGAATCCGCGTGGCATGCGTCCTTTCTTTTTTCCTAGGGAGCTGATTTTCTGGGACTTGCTGGGCGGCGGGAACCACCTGTGCGGATTTGAGACTGGCTAAAAATTGCCTACGTTACCTTTTACACCGGCCTGTAGCAATGGCAGGATGATGGTACCCTTTCCTGCGGCTTCGGAGTCCTACTCTTCGATACCTTTTTCACAAATGCCATGGGTGATTTGGACGTAATTATGTCAACCCAAGACCCGCGGGACATGTGTGACAGGTGCCATCTTTTGTGTCCCATCGGCAGGGCGTTTTGTCCTTGATGACGCACTTCCACTTGACAAGAAAGAAGCTCTTTGGTTGCGGCAGGCCTTTGATAGGATATCGGATTGCAGCCAAGCAAGGCTTAGACCTTCCTGGGCACATTGGCGCGGTCCGTCCTCTTAGGAAGCCAGGAAGGGGGAATCCGTTCCGGATTGAGGCTTATTCCGGAATGTAAGCTCCCGAAACCTCTGCAATCAGCTCCTAGAACGCTGCACCAATACACAACCCGTTACTTGTCGGACACCTAGACAAGGAGGGGGTAGCCCTGCTTGCTGGCTTATCATCCAAATATTGGTGAGGAGGCGTCAGAAGGGATTTCGACCTTTCCGCAAACAAATTGATACCGCGCGCATCGTGAAATTGAGCGGGCGTGAATCAATCATCACAGATTATTATCGATGCCTACTTTCGTTGCTGCAGGAAGCTATTAGCTAGGTGCGGCAAGTTGAGGATTTTGCAGCTAGCTACAGACCACGGACGATGCGTGGTGTAGCATGCGGGAAAAATAATGCAAGACCGATGTCGGTTTCTGAACCAGCAGCCCCGGGGTCCGCCCATCCTCAGCGCGATGAAGAAAGCGCTGTGCGCAAGATCCTGCACATCGCCACCCGTATCGTTCTGGCGGGAACTGCCACTTCAGCGCCATCCGCTGCCGCCGCCGCCGCCGCGCCGCAATTATCCTCTTCCGCGGCGGCTGCGCTAACTATGCCCACGCATGAAGAAATTGCAGAAGCGTACGATGCGTTGGTGATCTGTACCAATTACACTCTGCTCTGGGCGCGCCCCGGCCCGGCCCTCAAGATGGTAAAGCTGCTGGCAGTTGCGTTGCGCCATATTGAGGCTGCGAACTCACCCCCAGCAGAGGTGGGGGGCCGCATGGTGGATCTTGCAGTGGCTGTGGTGGACAGCTTTCGCCGCGCTTCCTTTGCCCTCTTTGAAGCCTCAGACAGCGACAGCAGCAACGACAAGGGGTTGCACGCCATTGTCCGGGCTGCGCGGTGCATCCTGCGATCTGGAGCCCTGGACTGCATCGCTCGTCTTTTGGCTTCAGCGACGACGGGAGAAGACCCTGTACTCATTAATGCGACCGTCTCCATCACCGCGACCCTTTACAATGTGGCGGCGGCATCACACATGTTAGCGTTACCAGGAGAATTCAACACAGCAGCAGCAGCAGCAGCGTTGAAGCAAAATGGTAGCAGCAACAGCAGCGACAGGGGCATGAAAGGCTTTAACTGCTTTGATCTTGAGTTCATAACTGCGCTGCGGGACTCGCACCTGGTGGAGCACCTGGCAAAGCAAGTGCTTCGAAGCGACGGCTCTCTGCATGAGCTCGGGACGCAGCTGGTGCTTGCCGTTGGATGTTTCGATGGACTGTGCATCCTGTGGCGCGAGGAACACGACCTAGAATCCACAGGGCCCTGTCAGCAGTTTCTTGCAACGGCAGCGGCGGTGGCAGTGATGAGCGAGCTCGACGGTGGGTCCACATACGGTCTGCCGCAGGATGTGGCGGCGGGGGTAATCAAGGCCCTTCGTTCTTGCAGTCACAAGGAGATCCTCCTGACCTGGCTCCGCACTTACATGCCTCGTTCCGGCCAGATGCCCAGGTTCATCATCAGTAGGCCGGTGTTATACAAGTTGTACATGAGAGCCTGCTGCGTCGGCATTGATAATGCCCAGCGTGCCACCAAGAAACATCCACCAGCAGGCGCTGGCGTCCGCGGCGGCGGCGGCGGCGGCGGCGGCAGTGCGGATACAGCCGGCGGCCCCTCGGGCGACGATGGTGCGGCAAGTAGCGGAGAAAGAGAGCCGTCGGCGGTTCAAGAGAGAGCCGGATGGTGCGAGGTTGCGCTGGTCGCCCTGGCAGCAGCGAGCAGCAGCATGCGGTCCCCTCGTTGCTGCGGCCGGAGCGCTCAAGGCGAGTGGTTTACCAGCGGCACTACTTCGCGACCTCTTGGCTGGTGGCATCAGGCGGTGAGGGCCCTGCAGCTGGCGGCCCTGGCGGCTCCGTGGCCGCCTCGGCTTGACAACAGCATGGTTACGGCCTCTGTCAGCCTGGTGAAGTGTATGATACTGGAGGAGGGGGACGTGGTGGCGGAGCTGCCCGGTGAGCTCACTCATCTGGATAACGAAGTTCTCTGGAGGGGGAGGGGAGGTGG